GCAAGATGGCCAAGCTGGGGCTGCCTCCGGCACCGCGCACCCCTCGCTACGAGATCCACTCCGGGCGCAGCTCCCACACGCGGCTCCTTCTCCTGCGCCTTGCGCTCCGCCGTCGGTGCTGTTATGACCGGTGTTATCACACGGCGACGATGCTCCCGGGCCCGTGCACGCCGCCGTCCCTCTGCGGACGCTCCTCGCCATGGCGCGGGGTTATTTACAGCGATTTCGTTTCCCTGCTGCTCCCCGCAGGCCGCGGCAGCCCCGTTCCCCGCTCCCTCCCCGCTATTTCCATCTCTGACGGCCGCTTTCACCCTCATTTTCCTCACAGCGAGGGCCGGGGCAGCCGCGGACACCGACCCGAAGGCGCGGGAAGGCCCCTCCGGAGCCTCCTTTCTCCCCCCCCCCGCTCTCCGCACTCACCGCTTGAAGTGCTCGATGATCTTCTCCTCACGCACGTTCTCCGGCAGGTTGCCCACCCAGAGGTGCCTGGTTTCCCGCACCATGCTGCGCGGCGCGGGGCGAGCCCGCCGCCCCTGCCCCGGCTCGCTGCCGCCTCTCCCCGCGCAGCGCTGCCGGCCGCCGCTCGCTGCCCGCCGCCGCCGCCACCTCCTCCTCCTCCGCCGCCTCCTCCTCCTCCTCCTCCCCGCCGCCCTCCGCCTCTTCCGCCGCGGGGCCCTGCCGCCCTCAGCGCCGCCGGCTGCCTCCCCCCGCGGCGGACGACACCATCCCCTGCGGGGGGGCCCCCTGGCTGCCGGGCCGCGGGCTCCCCCTCCGCCGAGGGTTTTCTTCCTCGCTGCCTCCCCCCGCCGCGGCCCTCGCTCGCTCGCTCCCGCTTCCTCCTCCTCCTCCTCCTCCTCCGTCAGCGGCAGCGCGGCTCCAACCCCAGCCCCCCCCCCCTTCTCCTCCCCCCCCCCCCCGCTCCTTGCCCCGCGCACGCGCACTGCCCCCCCCCCCCCCACGGGCGCGCGCCTCGGGACTGCCGGCGGGGGTTGAGCGCGGGCGCGCAACGTCCCGCCCTCGAGAGCGGGGGGAGTGCGCGTGCGCGGCGGCGCGAGCGGGTGAGGGACGGGGGAAGGAGGTTGCGATGGGAAACGTGGGGGGGGGGGGCAATGAGAAAACGGGGTGGATTGGCAAAATCAAGGGGTTGTGCTGTAAAAAACGGGGTAAAGGGGGGGCTTGCAAAGGGGGGGCGAAAAGTTAAGGGTGCGGTGCGAAAACGAAGGGTGAACTGCAAAAAACGGGGTGAATTGGGAGAAATAAAGGGGGCACTGCGAGAAACGGGGTGGTATACAGAGAATGAAGGGGGCTGTGCTGCAAGTGTAAAGGGGTGGGTTGAAAAGGGGGGCACTGCAGAAAATAAAGGGGGTGCAATGCAAAAAGAAGGGTGTTATGCAAGAAATAAAGGGGGGCTGCACTGCAAAACATAAAGGGGTGAATTGCAAACAGTAAATGGGGTGCATAGCAAAATATAAAGGGGGTGCAGTGCAAAACTAGATGTATTGCAAAAAATGGGGTGCTGTGCAAGAAGTAAAGGGGGTACATTGCAAAATAAGGGGGACACTGCAAAAAAAAAGGGGTGGTACACAGAAAATAAAGGGGGTTGTATTGCAAGGGGGGGCACTGCAAAAATAAAAGGGGCTATTGCAAAAAGTAGGGTGCTGTGTAATAAAGGGAGTGCTGTGCAAAACAAAGAAGTGCATTGCAAAAAATAGTGGGAGACACTGCCAAAAATGAAGGGGGTACATTGCCAAAAATAAAGGGGTGCACTGCAAAAAGCCTGCCCTGATATGCAGATAGACTCCAGAATGGGAAGGCCGTGGGAATTCTTATTGGGAGGATTCAGCTGCACGTCCTTGAACCCCTTCTCCACCCACCATGGCTCTGTGATTAAAGATGGGGTGAAGGAAACGCTTGTGAATATGGCGCTGCTCAATGGGAGACTCTGCAATGGGGCAGAAGAGTTTTCAGCCCAAAGGGTCTTGTTTTCTAGCATATCCGGCAGAAGCTCTTCCCTGTGAGGGTGCTGAGGCGCTGGCACAGGGTGCCCAGAGAAGCTGTGGCTGCCCCATCCCTGGCAGTGTTCAAGGCCAGGTTGGACACAGGGGCTTGGAGCAAGCTGCTCTAGTGGAAGGGATCCCTGCCTGTCGCAGGGGTTGGAGCTGGGTGAGCTTTAAGGTCCCTTCCAACCCAAACTACTCTGTGCTTCTATGTGCCGCTGTACAGATAAAACCACCCATTTCTACACCCTAAATTGAACATACCCAACCAGTTGCCACCATGTGACACCACACAGCTTGAGGTCAGGATAAAACACACCCATGGCCACAACAGTATTTTTTTTGAAGCCCATTAGCAGTTTTCAGCTCAGAATACCAATATTCCCCCATTTTCCTTGGCCAAAACCTCCCAACAGCACTTTTCTATCAATTCAAACCATGTTTTCTTGTCAGGGTCCCCTCCAGTCTGGCCAGACCCCTCCCAAGGACCACTGTAACCTCCTGGCAACAAGTCCACCTTGACAAGTGGTCAAAGTCATTGCAATATCAGTGCTTTAACAAACACTGCTCTCCTGATTTAATCAGGCCTCTGACGCACGTCAACATGAGCGCTATCCCCAACCCCTCAACCACGAGCCCATCCCAAACCAGCCCCGTGCCTCAGTTTCCCCAGCGATGATGGGTGTTAGCTGCTCCACCAAAGCACGATCTACTGATGAGCCTAACCTAAAACCAATGAATCTTTGCACACAAACCATCTATTATTTAAAACTTGTGATGGAGCCACGTACACACGTGTAGCGGTTGCTACATGTCCAGATCTTCAACAGGCTCTACAGGCACCCATCTGGGAGGGGAAGAAACCTAAACCACACACCAAATGGCTTTTCTATGCTGATTTTTTCCCTCCCTGCCAGGGTGGCACCTCTAAGGGACATGAGGAAACTGCGTCAGCTCCCAGGTCTCTCAAGGAACCTCAGGCAAGGTCCGAGAGGGATGCCCATGGACTGGAAGCTGTCGCAAGCAAAGCTGTCAGCTCTGCTGACAGGAGGGACGCAGTTGAAATTAGCTCTTCCTGGGCTCTGCCTATGCTAGAGCCAATTGGAAGAGGAGCACAAAGCCTAGCTGGTGACACAGATAAAGCTCTGGAACATCTCAGTACTTCTGAAATGCTTTGAAGGGGAAACAGTTCCAGTTACAACACTGGGATGTTGCTGTAACAACTCATTGGAAGACTTTAAAGAACACAGACCCAGGCTGGAGACCAGCATGGGCAGAACCATCCACCCAGCAAAAGGCACCTCCCTGATGAAGGACTGCTCCTACATGGCAGCTGCCAACACTGCCACAAGCAACACCACAATGAGCATCCAGGGGCAAGGCACGGACACTCATCCCCATGTGCCACCCATCCTAGGGGGGCAGAGAGTTTAGGACAAGGGGACTCCAGCAGCTCTCCAATGCCCAACAGCCTTCGGTACACACAAGAGCCTGGCACACCTTGAGGAGCAACATGAATTACTCCTGTGGGTGTAGCCGAGAACCCAGCTATCTCCGGACATCTCAGTCAACCCCGTAGTGAAAACATTGGGACGTTTCTTATCGGCAGTTGGAGAGGATTAAAGCACCAGGCTATATATTAATGAGGTTATAAACCCATCTCAGCTTGAACGCCGTGTTCACGGCAAGAAAATCAAAGCAAGAACAGGGCAGATCAAAAGAGAACCATTAAAGGCATGAAAAAATGGGGCTGCCTTATAAAGAACTAGTAAAGTTAGCGGCAACCAGTTTGGAGGAGAGAAAAAGGGGCAGGAGAATCAGAAAACATCCTTGGGGTCCGCAGACTATAGTAGAGACAGCCTCCCTTCGAGGACAGAACACCAAACACCAGAGAAAAGGCAAGTATCTATGTTCTGAACGAGCAGCATCTTACCCGTGCAGCACAGCTCATTGCCACATGTCACCAGGACGGCTTGCCCAACACTTCAAAAGCAAAGATTAGATACCAACAAGGACAGCAATGGGAGCTCCATGTGCCAAGAGTGTAACTCCTTACACTGGGTCCTAGCGTAGCAATTACTCTGTGGAGCACAGCTGGAGTCAAGAAGGAAGGCATTTACACCTCTCTCCATAGCTGGGGACATGGACAGTGACATCCAGCATGGATTAGAGCAGTCACATTAGTGACACACAGCAACCATCCCCAACAGCATCCAGTGCACATCCCACTTGCTTTGTTTTTTACTGGAAAACCATAGGTTACCCATATGGGAGCCCTCAGACATCACGAGGAACATGCAGAGCATTTCTTTCTTTGAGCCACCCAGCCCCAGCCACCATCTTGTCACTATAAACTGTATTTATTTACAGCCCTTTCCTGCTCATTGACTCTATTTATTAAAACGATGCTATGGCAGCTGAATACCCAAATGCCAGTGAGGCTTTTAGCTCAGTTTTAAGCCAAGCCTGAATTACAGACCTAATTTTATTGCTTACCCATTAACGTTTTATGCGATGGATAATTTTCTCCAAGAAGGCATTGGTGCTGTTTGGTATTTGGGCTCATTTGTTGCCAAGACAGAGGATATCAGCTTACACACAGATAATGCTCTGGATACGAAGTCTGGTTCTGGATCCTAAGCAACACAAAATATAGGATTTGTATTAATAAAGCTAGTCATTTTGGCTTGTTCCCCTTTGAGTGTTAGTGTTCCAGTTGTTCATGAGGAGAAGACTCAACCCAGAATGCTCCCTCCACATTTTCCAAACCCTGTATTTAGTAATTTATTTGCTAAATAATTTTATTTTCTATTTTTCTCATTCCAGTTTTCTCCAGCAGCAGAGTCCAGTGTGATGGCCGAGCCACACAACCGAAACACTGTGTGCCAGCACAAGACTGCAGAAGAGCTTATTCTTAGTACATATATTAGAATTTATTTTTATTTATATATAATATATATATTTATATATAACAACCCATATTTTTGCCTGTTGTTGGGGAAAGAAAGAGGACTATCACAGTGCTGCTCCCCCTGCCCCCCAGCTTCTGTGTGACCACATACCATAGAGCTGAACCTGCTCACAAAGGGGTTTCCCAAAGACAGGGCATGGTATCAGCTAAACAGAGAGGACTTCAGTCTTCCAGGCTGCAAAAGAATACATTTTAGGGGAAAAACAAAGAAGAAAACCAAGTAACGCCAGCCCTGTCTGAACTGGTACCCAAACAGGACCACTCCAATGGATATAAATCCCTTAGGATGGGATAGATCACTGTATCCTGTACTACTGTTGCATTATTTCTACATAAAAGCCCCATGTGCCCTAGAAAAAATCTCAGATATTACACTGGAGCTGTTGCAGAGCAAGGTTTTAATACAAAGTCCGAACCTGTCAGCTTAAGGCTGCTCTTCCCCACATTCCCCATCAGACTGATCAGCACAAAATAAACACTGAGCCAGCCACTACCAGAGCTTTTGTTCCATCAAACACCATTTTGATACTGAAGCAACTTGGTGATGTAGATGAGGCAGACGGAATGCACGTTGGTGTGGTTATGGCTCTCCCCCTTCAGAGAACAGCACTGAAGAAAAATAACAGCAATACAGCACAGGAGAAGGGTTCCGTGAGTGGCCTTTGCTTTAATTTCACCTCTGCAGATCTCATGGTGCAGCTTTTAACCTTTGGGATAACAGGAAAGCTTGAAAGACCACAGTTTTCCCCGCTATGGAGCAGAGATTTCTATTGCTCACCTGCTTTTTGGCACCAGAAATGTGTTTAGCTTGGAAATGCCATGGATGTAGCAGTAGCAACTCTTCAGTCCAAAGCAGAGGTGGTGAAGGTCCAGCCCTCACAAGGCAATTCTCCCTCATTTGTCCTAAACTGCCAAAGAAAAGTAATCCCAAGTCCCACATGATGTGCCAACCTGGAAAATGTGGGAACATCCCAAGCAGCCAGCATCTCAGTCCAGGGTCCCTCCATGCCAGTAGAGGCCTCTGAGGAGCACAAGGCGGATCTCCAAACCAACACATCCCTGATGAGAGAATACAAGTCATATCCCTGTCCATGGTGGTTTACTTCAAGCACAGCCGAGGCTTCAGGCGCAGGAGCTATTGGCAGTCTTCACAGGACACCACACACCAGGTTTCCCAGGAGCACCGTATGAAAGCTGGCCTGGACACCTCGTAATTGCTCTCCACTCATTTTTTGTGCCAAAAAAAAGCATGAAGTCAGAGCTGTGCTACAAACCTGCAGCAAGCAGGGGGACACTGGCAGGGAATCCTGCATTTCCCACATGGTGCTGCTCCAGCTTAGCTGGGCAGGGCCTCTCTGTGGTCAGCCAGAGGCAGCCACGCGACACCGATGCCAATATTCTCATTACAGGAGGCTAACAAGAAGGTGCCGATACCCAACACGCCCTGTGCACTAATGACTCTGTGCCGTGAAGTCACTTGTGACCTCGGGAAGACCAGCACTGGGTGCTTTTTACGACACCACAAAAAGAACTGTACCCAGTAAGGAATCATCGGCATTCTTCATAACATCACGGGATGGTTTGGGTTGGAAGGGACCTTAAAGCTCCTCCAGTTCCAACCCCTGCCACGGACAGGGACCCCTTCCACTGGAGCAGCTTGCTCCAAGCCCCTGTGTCCAACCTGGCCTTGAACACTGCCAGGGATGGGGCAGCCACAGCTTCTCTGGGCACGCTGTGCCAGCGCCTCAGCACCCTCACAGGGAAGAGCTTCTATCTAACCTGACAGATCTTCTTGTGAGCCAGCGTGGCTTTGAGGAATCAAGTAATAAACCAGCAGCATCTTATAGGCATAAGTTCCTGGGGGAGGAAAAAATGTAATTCAAGGGGACACTGATCTCCACCAACACAATTTAGGCCATTGCAATGTTCCTTCTGCCATTTGCTCTAGCAAAATTAGGAGTAATATGCTAGTGCATGTAGGTCTGTTCGTTGTAGGGAAAGGGGCCCCACAGTTTTACTCCCTGGAGGCAACTGTTCTCCCCACCCCTTTTGTGTGTATTTTTTTTAACGTGCCACACAGCAGCACAATGCTGACAAGTGCATTGTATGTTTTCTGCCTATGCAGCAGTTCAGGAGCACACAGCTTGGGAAGGGGGTTTTTAAAAGGGGAAAGGGGGAGGGAGCTGTCTTCGCTGTATCGACTGAATTGCACGCCCAGCTCTTCTATGTGACCATGGGGAAGGGGAAAGGACACTGAGGTTTAAAAACAGCTTTGAGCATCCAAAAGGGTCTTCTCCGTGATACAAGTGGAGCTTAGAGTAAAAGCTACCACAGGCAGGAAAAAACAGTATACATAAATCACCAGGGTTTCTTCTCTGGCACTGGAAGTGACCCCAGAATACAGCTCATCAGTCCTCACTGCTGTTAATCTCCATGTTTCCACACCTGACAAGGCAGAGATACCAGCTCTGAGGAAGGAAAATGGAGGAGGGAAGGGTATGGAAAGCTGGATTGTCCCTTTTCCACCTGCCAGGAGCAGCTCGATGGAGCCTCAGTGGCACCACTCCACAGAGCAGCAACCAGAGCACATTACCAGCCGCCACGAATGAAGCTGCTGGTTCATGCCCCCCCCCCACGTTACGCACAGGACTGACAAACACAGCTTCCTCTAACAATGAGGATGACTAATCCACAGCACTTTATTTATTTATTTTTGGTGAAGGCCACAGGGCAGAGCTTTTTTTCCACAAAGCCTTTGCTTTTGTGAATTAGTAAGCAGTGGGAAGGGGAAGCCCTGGGACCTACTCGTGCTATCCAGACAGAAGTAACCACAGAAACATTGTGGGTTTCTGTGGCCCGTGTACAACACACACTTACACAACCAGAGCACCATGCTTTTTGCTCCTCCGCAAGGCCAGCTCCTACTGCCCAGGAGGCTCTGAGATCACTGCGTGGTTGTAATACTTACGAAGGTGTGGAGAGGGGTTACACAAACAATCCCATGTTCCCCTGGAAAGGAAGAAAAAAGGGGAAAAAATAAGGCATAAGACAAGCTTCCACCCATAACGTTGCCACGTCCCCCTGCGCTACCTGGGTCAGAGAAGGGATGTGTAGGAGAAAAAGTGGTGTGCAGGGTTCTGTCATGGAAACAGAGCATCTGCATTAGCTCGGTGGGGGCCAGTCCCCCATGCAAGGTTGCGCTGGCTCTCAGGGCGCATTAGCACTAGCAGCCAGCTTTAATGCAGAGCTGTGGTCAAACCACAGCAGAGCCAGCACCGAAGGAGGTCACCTGGGGACTGCAAAAAGGTAATGAACTAAAACAATATAAAACGGGGGAGGGGAGGGAACAATCTGTAAGCAGATGTTTACTGACGAGCAGGCAGGTCCACAGCTTCGCCCTGGCAAGCTGCAGAGCTGCCTGCACGGAGCAGGCGGAGAAATCCCAGCCCAGTTCCCAGCAAAACAATCCGCATCTAGAGAGAACACTGAACAGATTTGGGTTACAGCTTTTAGCCAGCCCCACTCACCCCCACCATCCCCCTTCGGCTCTGCAGCCCTAAACCCCACCGAATCTGTCCTCTTTTTAAGCACTCAGAAGCAGAGATTTGCCACCAGAGTGATTCCTGGTGGTGGTACCGTTAAATACTTACCCACCTCACAGCCAAGGGCTGTGGAATCTTACAATTCGGGAGTGTTTGCAAATGGTTTTGAAAGCCTTCCAAGGAAGGTGCTGTAGGATTGTAAATCCTCCCCATTATTAATAAAATGGAGCTGTTGTTCCAACTCTAATCAAGACTTGTCTCCAGCTGGGCAATTTAAAAACGCAATTGAAAACACACAAAAAAAAAACCCCCACGATCATGAGGAAGCTTCAAGGAAAAAAAAACAATCATCAGTGAAACAGCTGTTCTTTAAGGGGAAAGGAGGAGAAACCGAAAAATAACGACCCTGCTATCTGAAATGAATTCCAAGCAGGATCATGGCGGGGCGGGGGGGTGTTTGCCGCCCTCCCACCGCCTGGGAAAGGTCACTTCTGCCATCGATGCCCTCGCTGCGCCCGATGAAGCGAGCAGCAACCCCATTGCGGTGAGCCAGCCCCATCCATCTCCATCAGGAGACAGCCCTGCTTTTAATTCATTTAGCAAAGGGGGAAGGGAAAAAACAAACTAGAAACCAAATTTATGTGAAAGAAAAAGAAAAAAAAAAGAAAAGAAAAAAGAAACAAACCCTCGCAAACACCTCCCTGCACCCTTGTCATGGATGGGGAAATCTAGCGAGGGGGAAGAAATGCCAGGGAGAAGTGGTGCATCCTTCTCATCATCATCTTCATCCTCCTCCTCCTCCGGCAGGGACCACGCCTGCCGGGCGCTGCGGCAAAGGCTCCGCAGTGGGTGCTCCCCTCCCCCGTAGAAGCTTCTGGAATAAGGAGCCGAGCTGGAAAGAGGAGAGAAACCTTTATACCCGCAGAGAGGGGGGGAAGAGAGCGAGCGGCGGAGCGCGTAATAAACGGGAGAGGATTGCACAAGGATGGGGTTGTGTGCAGGGGGGTAAAGATATATATATACATATACATAGATATATATAGATAGATATAAATGTAGCCCAGAAGCGGCTTTGCAGCCGGCTCGGCTTTTAAACCAAACACCCCAACACAGAGCACACACAAAAAAGAGGGAATATGGTGGTGTGTGGAGCGGTAGAGGATGGGATAAAGGAGCTGATCCCTCCTCCCGGATCTGCCATTGCGCTTGGGCTCGTTTGTCCTCTCGTTCTGTCGCAATGAGTTGTCTGATCCGGACTCTCTGATTTGCAGCTTCATGTTCGGGGTTTCTGTGCAGTTGTTTTTGTTTTTTCTTTTTTTAAACTTTTTTTTTTTGCTGTTTTTAAATTGTTTTAATTAAAAAGGCAAAAAAAATCCTCCCAAAATCTCCATCTCTGTGGAACAAGTAAAACATTCAGGCACACTTCCACCACGGACTGTAGAAAAGAGCTGAGTTCCTTCTTGGTTTTTCTTCTCTTTCTTTTTTTGATGGCTTTTTTTCCTTTTTCTCCTGCTTTTAGGATGTATTGTAGTAGAAAGCCAATGGAGGAAAACAAAGGTAATATATATATATAAAATCAAACGTATATACGGGCCAAAATAAGTGGTTATATAGAATAAAATCACAGTGGTTTAGGTGTGGGGGTTGATATTCTGTAATCAGTCCATAGAAAAAAAAGGGGATTCCGATGTATATAGAAATACGTTAGAAATACTTCCGTGTGTGTAGAAATAGCATAAGCATGGGCCTAAATCTGTTCATTCCAGGTTAAAAACCAGCAGTGGTTTAGGGCTGTGGTTTGGAACAAAGAAGGGACAATGTTAAAATGCACCCTGTAACAACACTGGGGTAGGAAAAAGGGAAGGCAACATTAAAAGCAGTATTAAAAGCATACGTGGTACCTTGGCTGCAGCCTCCAACAACGAACGTTTGGATGTTACGGGGTGTATATATATAGATATATAGATAGATACAGATAACATTTATATTTAGAGTATTACCACGTCTGACCACACGAAGGATATGCTTTTAATTAACGTTATGGCGGGCAGGTTGTCGTCGGGAGCAAGACGAGCGGCGACGGCTTCTTGTTCCCCACACGCCTCCGGCTCGGCAGGCACGTCCATCCTCGGGTGTTCTGGGGTTGATTCTTGCTCTTTTTAAAGCACGTTTGGGTATTTTCCACGCCGAGAGGAGAGCGGGAGGTGGCGGCTCGAAGGAGAAAAGCGGTGGAAGGGAATGGAGGCATGGACCTGCCCGCCCCGGCGTGCGTGTGGTGGGGATGGGGGGAGCGCAGGGAACGGGCAGTTCGGGGCCAAAAACCTTCAGGCTATGAGGTAAAATAAGAGATTTTAAGGGTCGGTGCCGGCCATCTGCGCGGGGGGGTGGCTGAAGCAGCATTCCTGGCGGATTTCAGCTTCCTTTTGTCAAGGCGGTGAGGAAAAAGGCGGGGGGGGAGGTCGGGTTTCCCCCGCAGCGCTTCCACCGCCCGCCCGGAGGGGATGCGCACACGAGGAGGAGCCCCTCCGCCGAGCTCTTGGCACGGCCGCGGCTCCCGCTCGCCGCCCCGGCCCCGCTCAGCCGCGCCTCGTCCCGTCCTTCCCCGCGCTGCCCGCCCGGCGCCATTTTGTCGCCTCAGCGCCGCTCGCAGCGGCCCCGCCGGGCGGCCATTTTGTGAAGCGGTTCCCGCCGAGGCGCGGGTGAGGCGGCGCTGTGGAGCCGGGGGGGGAGCCTCGACCCTCGCCCTCCTCCTGCCCGTGTTCGCCCTCAAGAACGCTTCTTTTTAGTGTTTTATTTCTCTTTTTCCTCACAAAACGCCGTGCCCTTAAAGCGCCGGTCGCCAAAGCAAGCTTCAGCCTCAGACGAAGCAATCCGGTAAAGGAGATCAAAGTATTCGCGCGGCTGTGAGGGAAAGTGTGGCCGCACGGGGAGTGAAGGGATAAATTCTTTTTTAGGAGCCATTCTCACCTCCTCCTCCCCTCCAGCATTTTGTCCCAGCGATAAATCTCCCAGCTCAATAAGCGACCTTGACAAAGGGGATAAACAGAGAAATATCTCTTTGGTTAAATAAAACGCCTCATCTACAGGCTCTAATGGACGCTGCAGCAAAGCAAAGAGATGATACAAACCGGTCTGGGCAAAAAAAAAAAGTTCATTTTGGGGAAACAGGGCTTGCGGGATGCTGTGGTCGCCTCGGATATGAGGGAAAGATGGGATCTAAAAGGTCAAATCCGTGCATCTGTTTTCAGAAAGAGGGTTGGGGTTGGGTTGGTTTGGTTTGAAATAACCAGAGCCTGGTAACGCGCGTGCGTAAACGGCTGCATTGGTTTAACTTAGTGTTATTGAACACCCAGAGGGCTTTAAATACAGCCCGTGCTGCTGGTGGGTCAGGTGTGCAGGAAAATGGGGGGGAAAGGGGAATATTGAGGTTTTTAATATATATAGATATCCATGCTGCGTGATGAAGCTGAAGAAATCCAAGACTTGGGCTGCTCCCAGAGGAATCCCTGCTGGTTTTTCCCCCTCTCCTTAGTCAGCAGGATCAGACCACTTCTCGTTGAAGGAGTGGTAGGGGTTTATGTCGTGTTGCGATGTGACAGCACAGAAAATGGCTCCAAACACAGTGGGGAAGGACAGCACTGCAGCAGGATGATGGGAGATGGTTTCCTCTGGTCAGACCAGAAGAAAAAACCCATTTTTCCTTCATCTCTGAAAAACAAACAAATCAGCAGCATTAATTCCCCATCCATCCAGCCCTCCCTCCATCTATCCCTCCCTCCTTCCCTCCCTCCCTCCCTTCATCTGTCCCTCTCTCCCTTCATCCCCCATTCACCCATCCCTCCAGCCATCTCTCTCTCCCTCCCTCCATCTGTCCATCCATCCACCCACCATCCATCTCTCCTTCCCTCCATCCCTCCCTCCTTCCCTTCATCCCCCATTCATCCATCTCTCCCTCCATTCCCTCCCTCCTTCCATCCCTTCATCTGTCCCTTCCTCCATCTATCCGTCCATTCCCTCCATCCTTGTCTCCCTCCCTTCATCCATCCACCACCCATCCATCAGTCCCTCCATGCCTCCCTCCCTGCCTCCATCCATCCCTCCTCCCAGCAGAGCCCTGGCAGCTGCTTCAGCCTTGGTTTCCCCTCCTGCAGCGTTCCCCTCCAGCTCCTTCCCGGCCCCTTGGAGGCGGTGATGGCAGAGTGAAGGCACGAGAGGAATCTGGCTCATCTCTCCGGCTCTGCGCTTGCATTTCTCACGGCCGACCATGGGGGATGCTGAGGGAAAAGGCACTTGCGAGCCTGTTTCCCTTTACAGGCTTTGCTTTCCCTGCACTACACCAAAACCTTTGGCTTACAAACAAAACCTGTGAAAAGGCCTCATTTGTAACAAAGCACAGCTTCCACCACTGATGTAAAACCACTACAGGTGAGCCTGACAGCTCATTCTTTAAAAACTTTAAAAGCTGTTCAAAGATCAGTTGTTTGTGAGAGAGACAACCTTTGGAGTTTTATGGGCTACGAATTGGGTTCAGTCTGGAGAAGAGACGGCTCAGGGGGTACCTGATGGCTCCCTACAACTGCCTGACAGGAGGATGGAGCCAGGAGGAGGCTGGGCTCTGCTCCCGAGGAACAAGAGGAAATGGCCTCAAGCTGCACCAGGGCAGGTTTAGATGGAGCTGAGGAACAATTCCTGCCCCGGAGGGTGCTCAGGCATTGGAACAGGCTGCCCAGGGCAGGGCTGCAGTCACCGTCCCTGCAAGTGTTCACACACCGTGGAGACGAGACCTCAGTGCCATGGGTTAGTGGTGGCCTTGGCAGTGATGGGAACAGTTGGACTGGATGATCCTAAAGGTCTTTTCCAAGCCGGTTGCTCCTGCGCTTCCCAGCTCACAGCAGGGTATGGCGTTAGATGCCTTTGCTGGGAAAGCCCAGGGAAATCTTATCCCCGGACCGCACCCAGCCTGGAGTGAAGAAATGCTTGCATTTGCTTCTCGTTGGAGGGCAGCCACGTCCCGCCCCGCTCCCCTGGGCCTGCCAAGAGGGATTGCAAGACAAGGCAGGCTTATTGCAGCAGCCGAGGGAAGGGCAGGGCCGGCCCGTGCGACTCCAAGGGTGTAGGATCCTCTTTGCCCTTTTGCACTGCCACTGGAGCAGGACAAGACCTTGGGCGGGTTTTATGCCTATGGTGGTCCCTGGGGGGCTCTGCAAGGCTTTGGGATGTTCCTAAGGCAGAGCAAGAGCTTTGTCTTGCTCCATGCATGATTTGTGTTTGGTTTAGTCTTTGCCAAGCAAACCTGGGCGCTTGTAAAAGCGCTTGCAACAGGGCACAGAGCCCGAGGACAGGCGGAGCTGTCGCAGCAGACCTGGGCTTGCTCAGCAGCAGGATGGGACCCGTCTCCCGCAGCCTCACCCTGCAAAATCTCCTCCATGTGGCTCGGCCAGCATTGGAAATTCCTCGAGGTGCTCCCAGGAGAAAACACGGGGCTGTGCTTTTCAGGCATAGCGACGCTCCCTGTGCCTCGACTCGCAGTGCTTCTCCCCTTACCATAGGAGAAAATGGCTTAAGTCAGTCTATTTTCCTCTTGCCTCCATGTCCATCCATTCCTGTCCCTCCTCATCCTCTTTTCCTGGAGAATATGCCAAATCTCACCAGTTCTCTGTCCCTTTGCCACGCTGCCAAACTCTCCAGTGTGAAGCCTTGCAGAAGTTGCCCTTCTCCTGCCCTCCAGCAACTTCTGTAATGCTTCATGTCAATAAAAAACATTCCCTGCCTACCTCTGACCAGAAACTGCCACAGTCATGGTCCTAACAGCCTGTCCTGGCTTGCTCTGCAGGAGAAACACCCAACCCTTCCCACCATTAGCCCTGCAGAGGGGTAGCATAGATTGCTGGGCACCCAAGGGTGCTGCGCAGAGGGGTTAAGCCAGCGTGCAATGTAATAACTCATCCAAAACACCTCTCAGCATCAGCGTTTCCATCTTCCCCCAACATTGATTGGAAAATCACCCACATTGCAAAGAAAGGAGGAGCCCTTTGCTCTCTGGGGCTCCTCTTCCCCACACTCTTTACCCCCCGCTGAGTCTGCCCATTTCTTTTTACTGTTTTAGCATCATTTGGTGCCTGGTTTTCCCCACAGGGCAAGAGGCTTTGGAAAGTGAGAGCTGCCTTGGAGCATGGGACACGCCAGAGTCAAAGCCACCTACTTACGTGACCGGGACAGACCGCAGCTGTGCATTAACATCCTATTTATAATAATAACTTTATAGCGAGTTATGACCTGATTGATGGGCTGTAGACTCACATTAGCAAACACTGAGTAATTGGCTTTGTAGATGGGGAACAGTCAGCAGGAAATAGTTGTGGGTTAATGTGGTTAATCAACCGGTGCTTACATTAATGATACATTAACCCTTTCATTTGTAAATACAGAGCATGCTGCAGAGACATCCTATGTGACCTAGAAACGTATGGCTGCTGCTTTGCTTGGTTTTAGCCCTTTTTTTCAATCAGGGAACGTGTTAACCATCACCTCAGATGTTCTTTGTTTTCTCCTCTTGATTCCATAGAATGGTTTGGGTTGGAAGGGACCTTAAAGATTCAGTTCCAACCTTTTTAAGCACTTCCAGTTAAAAGGAAAACTCTTTTTCCAGCTGGTTTGCAACACCCTCACAAACAAAACCCTGCTGACATCGGTCGCACAGATGCTGGGCATGCTTACAAATAGTTTAATTTCTGCTGGTTCGGAGCTTGGACTGAGAGAAGAGCAAAACCCGCCTGATGGCAGAGCGATCCTATCTCGGGTAACGTGCAGAAACGGGAATTGGTGGTCTTTCCCAGAATCGCAGCGCTGTCGGCTGCAGCACAGAACGGTT